TCTCTCTCTCTATATATATATATATATATATATATATATATATATATATATATAAACTCAACATTTTGTGTATTTTTTTTGATAATTCATTGCTAAGATAGAAATATTTGATTAACTAATCTATTGTGGGTCCCAGTTATATTTGATGATTAAGCTTCCAATGTACTAATGAACTTTCACTTGGGTTTCCCTCTGTAGGACTTAATTATTTTACCTCCAGAAAAAAGGCTTCAATTAATCCTAAAGTCCCTTCTAAAAGGCACGCCCTAACAGTCCTGTTATTTTTGCCTGCCCAGCATCCATTTCTTCCCAGTTACAGTCCTCTCGCCCTCCCCAGGGGGACCCACTGCACCATCCACCCACATTGTGCAGGGGCACTGAGTCACGCCTTTGGCTCTGGGAGCAGGCACAGAACTCCTGTCTGTCTTTGCCACAGCAGAGATTGCTTCAAAGTTAGCTCAGGACTGAAGGCAAACCTTGGCGAGGCTATCTCATTTGTAAATGTTTACTGTAGCATTCAAGAAATGGGACTCTTTCTCTCAAAGTTGATTTGGAAGGGTTTAAGCTCAGAGATGCTGGGATCCACCTTCACAAAGATAGCCTTCCTGGAAACACTCAGGAGCTAAATGCCAGAGACATGTTAATAGACTCCTGCTGCTTGTGTACGATCCTTCAGAGTGAGTTTCCCTCACTGGCAACCCAAACAATTTGACAAACGCGGGTGAACATTATGGCGGCCTCCAATACTAGAATAATTTCTAGTATTATCAAATATCTACATTTGTACAGATGTCCCTCTGTTCTTTTTTTTTTTTTCTCCTTTATATCTGTCCCATGAAATGGATGCATTCTTCAAGCCCTACTGTAAGCCTCACCTACCTTTCCTTTCCTTGTCACCCCTGCCTTGTCCTGCATCAAGTCTTCTCAAGCATGCAGTGTCCCTTCTGCTTAGGAAGCATCCATCCTGCCTGACCAGTTCTCTGCACCTGTCAGGGATGCTTGCTACTAGATGGCAGATTCAGGTACACCTGGGAAATGTAGATGAATCTACCTGACTGTCCTCCAGAACTCTTAATTGTTTGATAATTGAGCAGGACTTTGAGAGGAAACGTCTAAAGGAAGCATGGCAAAATGAACCTGATCCACTAAGAAATTCTTAGCTGTCCAAAGGCAGAGAGAGAAAAAATACTCATTTTCTTATATTTATAGAAATTAAAAAAGATGACCTCCCAAGAAGTAGAGGAAGGACTACTAGAAACAGAGGAGTGCGGTGTAGAGGCGTGTAGCTTAGTAGAAACAATTTCGGGGCCAGCAGGTAGAGTGAAGGTGAAGGCACTGGATCTCATATAGCCAACCATGTGGTTCGAATCCTGGACATGGAGGATTAAAAATCACACCAGGCGTGTGTGCGTGCATGCATGTGTGCATGCCCAAAGTTCTGAGAAGAGACTGGAGAAGGGATTGCAGTGTGGCTATCTCCCCTGGGGATGATTTCTCATCCCTCTGCCCCCACCCCATTTCTCTCTCGCAAGTACATGAGCCCTATACCAAAAAAAAAAAAAAAAAAAATAGACAAGAGGAAAAATTTCTAGTATTATCAAATCCATTAAGATTAATATATTTAACAATTTACTGTATATCTCAGAGTAACTAAGAAATGATTTCCCAACCCAGAGTAATGGCAGGTGGTTGAGATGATGGATTTATTATTATTCATCCTAATTTAATCATGACACATTGTGTTCTTGTGCTGAAAAATCATGTTGGACCCCATGAACATGTGCAATTAGTACATGTCAGAGAAAAAAAATAATGAAAAGGCAGCGAGGCCAGAATAAGCAGGGGTACCTGTGGACCAGAAGCCCTGTCTGTGCCACTTGTCACATCGACAAATACTGAGAGATCGGATTTGGTGAATAAGGAAAGACAGGTGTTCGGCGAGGCCAACACTGGGAAGACAGCAGACGGCAGTCCAAAGACACCTCCACTGAACTGGATGAGAGACGAAACTCACAGGATGAGTTTTCCATTGTCTTCAGGGCAGAATGACAAGGAGGGCTGGTCTTGCCTTCAGGAAGGATTACAGGAAGCATATTGTGGGGGGGGAGCATCTGGGGGGCAGTTGCTGCTAGAGGACAGTTTTCAGTTTAGTCACAGACTTCCAGTGCTCTGCAACGGGCTTAAAGGTGAGCGATGATTTATGATGCAGCAAAAGCAAAATGGAAACAGTCAAGACAACTTTTTAGATCCTGGTTTAGACCCCACAAGGATCTAGGTGTGGTTTTGCAATATCTGAACTTAAAAAAATCTCAGTCACATGGATGGGGGATGGTGGAGTCTTTTCTCTCCCTGTTTCCATACACTGATATATATGTTTTAAAGATTTATCAAAATTATTGTTAACTTCCATTAGATGAGCATTCAGCTTGGTCTATTGTAAGAGAGGTAAGAGGCTATTTGCTGTTAGATTTGTGATTAAAGTGAAAGACAGAAGTGAAAAACTGATTTTCCTAAGGTTTAATCTATTAGGATGGATTCCGAAACTACATAGAATACACAGTCACCTTACTTCTCACATGGCTGGTTCTCAAAAGAACCAGCTTCCTTCTTGCATCACTATTTAAAACAGATAGTACATAAAAAGAGCTCTCAGTCCAGGCTGGCAGGTGGCCTAGTGGTTAAGGTACTGGAGCACTACATGGCTGACCAAGGTTCGAGTCGCAGATTCAATGGCTCGGAAACCCTACCAGTGCCTATGTGGGCATGCTCAAAATCGTGAGAGGAGAATGGAAGACTTTTCCCCACTCAGTTTCTCTCAGACAAGTGCACGTACACTGTGGGGGGAGGAACACAAACAGAAAATAGAAAACAAAACAAGACAAAAAAAAAAAGCTCTCGGTCCAAACAGGCGAAGCTCCGCTGTGCTAATGAACTCTCAGTGGACTAAGAGAACAGATATTTCTCAGGAGATTTACCAGGGCAAGTCATTTCCCACACATGTGGTCAGCATCCTAGGTCATTGCATTCTTAGGGCACCTCTGCTTCAATGCCTTCTCTTTCACTGCTATGAAGCTAGGGAGGCAGAATTGCAGGGCCTACTACTTGCTAATGCTTTACCTGGAAGGGTCGTGCATTATTTCTGCTGTCATCTCATTGAACAGAGTAAGCTGAAGCAAGTTTTCTTATCAAGGGAGCCCCTGCGCAGACATAAAGCTGAATGTTGCTTAATTTAAGTTCTGTCTACCTCAAGCTCTATTTCACTAAAAACTTAGTTAGCTCTTAAAAGACTAACAGCTGTGCATTGGAATTATTTTTTTTTTTCTCAGTGAGATTTTTGCTATAGGACGTGTGTGCTCTCTGGAGAGACAGAGACAGACAGAAAGCAAGAACTCACACCCCCCCTTCCCTGGTGATAACCATGCCATAATCCCTTCTCTTCCATTTTTCTCTTGGGATCTTGGGCACACACACGCATATGCCCAGCGTGAGTGTAAGCCACCAGCTCGGGACTCCATCTGTGGTCAATTGCATGGAGTCCAGTGTAACTACTACGCCATCTACCAGTGCCTATGCATTAGAATTTCCTAATGGAATGCAACAAATAGAGACTTGCAGCCCTGTTTCACTGCGGATGTCTTGGCGGCTTTGACATCATGAGCAGTATCTGGGCAACAGTGCAGAGCAGGGGATCCTGTGTGGTAGAAAACATGGTGCTTGGCAGAGTCCTGGAGTGCCAGAAGATGCCCAAAGGAAAGCACATTTCTAGAAAGTAGGGAAATCCCCACTGGTTTGGATTATGGGACTGTGTGACACCCTTGAATGACATTCGGCATGAGTCGCATAAGTGTGATTGGGGCTCAGTGGGGCATAAATACCATGACCCTATTCATTCCTACAGACTGAGTTTTGGTGAAGCTCCAGTTACCTCCTTGTGGATTTGCTCTTTGCTCCACATGCTCTTGACTGTGGCTCAGTAGCCATTCACTCACCCTTTCTTTGGCCATCAGAAAACTCTTCATAAATGGAGATGGAAAATGCCAGATGCCCCCTCATCTAGTCTTCCCTGCAGGTCGAGGATAGCTTAATCCCAGTCAGTGAGATGCACGAGGATGTTTTCTGAAGGAATGTCTTGGAAATGTCTTCCTCTCAGAAAAAAGGAGACAAGTTGGGACCAGAAGATGGCCTAATAGTTACGTTGCTGGACTCCCATGTAGTTGGCTGTGGTTTGAGTCCCAGACCCGGTGGCTTAAAACTCAGATTGAGCATGTGTGTGTGTGTGTGCATGCCCAAGATCCCAAGAGAATGGATTGCAGTGTGGCCATTCTCCCTGGGGGGTGATGTCTTGTTTTTTTTTTTTTTTTTTCCTTTTGCACATGTACCTTAAAGCAAAAATCTGTCTCTAAAAAAAAAAAAAAAAAAAAAAAAATACATGTTAATATAGTTTATTATCCAAAGCAGGGACTCGTCAGAGTAAAAAGGCCTGGATGCTGTGATGTTTCCAGGCAAACAAGGGTATGCAGTTACCATGTTCATAAGGAGGGAACCCCTCACCTTCTTCTCTTTCTTTTTTTTTTTTTTTTTTTTTTTTTTAGTTTTTTGGAGG